TTGATATCAGGGATAGAAACCAGAGACTAGACAGGTCACAGAACATAAGTGAGATTCTAATACTAGTTTTCCACCAAATAGTTACATTATTAAACTGACTCATAAAGACTCATATACCCACAGATTAATGCATCACTCAGCTCTCAGCAGAGAAGGTTCTTATGTAGGAGATGGTGATAAACACAGAAACCCACACTAGTAAATGTGCAGAGAACAAAGACCGCAGAGCACTTATCCCTAACTAGGTCATCTGTATCAAACTTCTGCTTCCTATGGCTCAGGGATCATTGTGGAAAAGGGGGCAGAAAAATCGTAAGAGCCAGAGGTGGTATAATACCACAAGGGAATAGAGTTTTCCAGGCAGCTTGTCAGCTACTAATATGAACTCACACCAATGGTGACAGCATGCACAAGTCCCACATAAGTTCAAGACAGACAAAATCCCAGCATCCACATGGAAAGTGGTTAAGAAACCCCAACCCTACTTGAGGAAGTATTGGCCAACACAGGCTACTAGGAGGAGGAGGAGGAAGAGTGTCTTTCAAGGATGCGATTCTTCATACCTTAACCACATTCCAGTGAACACGTATATACATATACAGAGAGAGAAATAGAGGGAGAGAGAGAGTGAGAATATGAAGTTAGGTATGCTGTGACTAAGAAACCCCAACCGTAGTTGAGGAAGTATTGGCATAGGGGAGCATTTCCAAATATAATCAATATATACTCTGTGAATTTCTTTGAGTCAAATAAAAAGAAAATAAATGAACCCACAGAATATGAATTACAGTAATAGAATATTTCCTATATAGTCAAAGGATAACTGTTCATGTGCATAAAGTTTTCAAATTATTCATCAAGGTTACATTTTAAAAAAGAAAAACAGTGATTACATTGAATTATCTACTACAGCTGCTCAGAAATGGAGCCTGACATAAAATACGGTGTTTAAAAATATTTTACTGCTAAGATTTAAAATATACCTATACTAATTCTAAATGTTTTTACAGGAATGATATATGAAATGATGGGGAATGCAAAACTTTCTAAGCTGTGCTGAATGATGGAGACCTGAGCAATGGGCCGATGTTGAGTGGGAAGAGCCATGCAGGACTCTTGCAGTGTTCTATGCATTCCCAGTCTTTTTTTTCTCTCATACTTTTTCTGGACAGGGATTCTCAGGGGCCCCAGCTGCCCTGGAACTATCTATGTAGGTAAAGCTGGTTGGCCTGGATTTCACAGAGATACACCTTTCTCTGCTTCCCTAGAGCTAGGCTTAAAGGCATGCACAACCACACATGGCAATTTCAAGTATTAACAGCTACTCGGGTTGAATAATTGTACAGACTTTTAACGCTCACGGTTGGTAAAATTACTATCTTTATAATTAAGTATATGAAATGTTTCTAAATTAGTATAAAAATATAGAGATTTTAAATTAAAAGACAAGGAACTCTTCAATTAAAAGAAAATCCTGTGACTTTACTAGCCCATTTCAGTGGCTGAAATGGTTGAACACATGTGAACAAACATGGGCTCTGTTCCTTTCTGCAAATACTATTTCCATACAGGTGAATATATGGAAAGAATGGAATATATTGAATGTCATCATTAGACATCACATACAGAATGACAGAATGACAGGACTGATTGACGCAGCACCATAAAGAAAGTCAGGAGGGATATGGAGAGATGAGTTGGTGGTTGACACAAGGAGCATGTGAGCAGCTTGAGAAAGAATCATCCCCAAAAGCAAGTTTAAGTGGTCAGCTGGTTATGGACAATTTGGGTCTGAATTCATCATGCACTTTACGGCTGTCACCAGTAGAGGGGGATATTGACATTTTGCTAAAGAAACCAAGTCTGTTCTGGAAATCATTGTTAAAATTGCTTTTACATAAAGCATAGAACTTGCTTTTAAAAATGGAAGGAAGGATTCATG